TTAAACGCTTAATAAAATGTAATTCATGATTCACCCTGTAGCAAATTATAGACCGCGTCAGTTGGGCGTAATATTAAAAGTATGCAACTTTGTTTACTCAAAAAATCCGTTCCTTTTTTATTATTTATTTTATACATTAAAAAAATATAAAATGCATATTAAACATATTTATTAGCTTTACAACAAGATAAATTTAACTATAATTTAATAATATTGTTTGTCTTTTTATTCTATGATTTTTTAAACTTTTTAATTTGATATTAAAACGTGCTATTTGTTACATTGCAATATTTTATTACATTGATATGGTTTTACCTATTATTGTAAAACGTTTTTCTTATTGTAAAAGTGCAAGTGGACTTGTTTCGTTTCTCTTTTAGCGTGCGAATCTCAAAGGAACAAAGCCGTGTTTCTGCTAATCTAAACTTTTCCTTACCTTGTCGCGAATCTGTACCATATACTGTTTATCTCTGGTTCATCGGACGAGTAAATATATCGGCGACAGAAAGTACTTTCCGAGGAGTGTCGTAAAGCGACTAACATGTGCCGGATGTCTGTGAGAATGTCGACAACAGGGACGAATAGTGACTTTTCGAGGCTTAAACATTTTGGAGAATGTCTCGGCGAAAATGTAGTATCGTGAGCAAAAAGATATTAAAAGATCTATCGGAATGTGAATCTTTCTTCTTCAATATATCGCTTTAAGAAAGAGAGACATTTATCGTATTTTTTGTAAGATTTAAGAGCCTATAATAAAAGGCATTTTTAAATGTCTGAGCAAAATTGTAAAAGGAAAGGTATCTGTTTAAACTTTCTACATTTTGATAAATCTGTCTAAAATCGTTCTGCGCTTTTTGAAGTATATAATTGAAGCTCTCCATGTGCTTGTTAGTTTCTGTATAAATCCGTTCCTGTCCTGGGGACCCGATTGAGTAAAGGGAAGCATACAATTACAGCGGGTGCTACATGCCGGTAATGGCACCCTTCTTTGACGAACATCATCCTCTTTGAAGACCACCGACGGTGTGCATGTGCAAGAAAATAGTAGAATTTTTTTTGTCTATACGTCATTACTTATGTTAATTGGAAGGGAAAAGTATTATTGGCGCCAAATTAGTCGAATAATGCTCTGTATTCAACACTAAAAATACTTAATAATATAATTTAAATGAATTATTATATTAATATCGTGCGCATCATAATTTTTTTCTTTATATTTATTTTGAATTTATATATAGAATTTTTTCTTATTCGAATTTTAAGAAATTTATAATTTATAATTAATTATAATTAATTATAATTAATTATTTATAATTATTTATAATCATTTTAATTTACAATTAATTATGATTAATAATTAACTAATAATTTTTTAGCTAAGTTTTGTATAAAAATGAATTTTTTCAGAGTCAAATATGTTTTATTTATGTTTCGTTATTTCTGCTTTCTTACACTTTACGCGATAAGAGGAACGACCTTATAAAATAAAATAAGGAATATTGCATTACCACCGCAACTTTGCTGGAAGGACACTTGCAGCGATGGAAATTCGAACTGATCGTCCAATGATATATTTTCCAGTGCGTGATTCTCGTGATATTTTGCCGCGTCTTGGTTTTGTTTTTCGTCTCCGTATTTGTCAAGATACAACGCAATCTGCGGAGAAAGATGAGGTATGACAAGCGGTCGACAATGGCATAGGAAAAATGGAAAAGGACTGTTCTTCTCCTCACTTGATCTCGTGTTCTCCTTCGAGTATCGGGGGAGGACGACTAGTCCAGTTAGGTATCGAGTGTCAAAATGAATATCGGATATCGGGAGGATATGTCTACTCTCGAATACGTGACTGGTATTTCTTGTCGAGATTGGATCGCACAACCTTCCATCAAAATTTATCGGATTTTCTTTCAACACCTTTGACGATAAATTCGACGAACAGGAGAGCTTACGATCTTGTGAGTTGTTACGAGACTAGATTAGAATTTGTATTAAATTTTTATTAATTTTTATCACTAGATCAATTTTTATAAAATTATTAAATATAAATATAATTAATAGTATTAAATATAAATATTAATATGAAATAAGAATATTAATTAATAAATAAAATATAAAATCTAATTAATGATATTAATACAAATTACGATTTTAAATACATATTTAAAACTTATTTTAAATATATATTTAAAATTTAAAAAATACGCATTTTTTAAATCTTGAATTACGACGCGAATTAAGTCGGCGAATATTTTCTTTAAATAAATTCGATACCTTTTACGAGAGAATAAATTCTCACGTGGCTCTCGTAGTCGCAGCCGAAGCTCTAAACAGTCTTATTTCCTCGAGGAATTTGTCGATTTTCCAAATGACAGGTTTTCGGATGGCGATTATTGAGGAGGAGAGGACACGCAGATTGCGCGCGTGCGTTTATCGGTTGGCGAGATAGTCGCGTGGCCGTCTTAGGTGTTGCGTACACGCAATTATCCGCACCGGTCGACAAGTTTATTTTCAATGAAACCGCGCTTTCGATCCGCATCGAGCCGCTCGTAAAGCGGGCCGCATAAGCACGGGACTTTGTGGCTCGTCTACGGACAGGGAGATAATATATTGGAGTTATGCTAATTTTACGACCGAGCCCCCATGGCAAAAAGCACCAAAAAGGATCCCACCCGTGCGCGTTTTTGCGGGCGGACGAGTCCGATGGAAAACGGTCCGGGAATACGAGCGAGGATCGGTGGGCCTCGCGAATATTCGCGAATATTATGCGCATCGGAGGTGGAATTCCCGAATAATGAGACATCAGCTGCGAGAGCTCCGCGACCTTTTGGGAGAAAAAAGGAGCTTCTTTTACCTTGTAAAAGAAATTCCGCTCATCCGTTATGTGCGTCTCGTGAATTTTCAATTTCTAAATTCTTTTTTTTACTTTTACTTTTTAACTTTTTAACTTTTACTTTGTAACTTTTGAATCTAATCTGTTAAATCTTTTTATCGTTCAGAATGAAATATATACATTTCTTGCAGCAATTTATTATGCATCGATTATTTTATAGTTCTGTTTTGAAGTTTAAATTTTTTTATTATATTTTATTATTTTATTATATTTTTATTTCATGTATATTTCTATTTTTATTATATTTATGTATTATATTTATTATATTTTATTATATTTCATTTTCTTCGTATCAATATAATATCTTGAATTAGATGATATAATGCAGTAATAATTATGGTAAAATCTGTCAATTATTTTATTTATTGTTAAAATATTATTTATTTTTATATGAAAAATATATAAATATCAAATATAAATTTAATTATTCGACACATCCATATTAAAAAACTTTGTTCTCAAATCAAGGCGGCTTAAAATATTCGATTAATTTCTTATATCTCGAAAAAATTACACGTTACACGATCGTACATGATTATACTTAATCTCGGTGACATGTTATAATTATAGGACTTAATTGCGGGAACGCTACGATTCTGCCACCGAACATTTATCGTCGTTAAAATAGCAGAAAAAGGAAAAAATATGAATTTCTTAATTACACGATCAGGGAAGAAGGGTCCAGGATGCAGAAGCAAGACCGGTATAAAGGTGAAAGAGCTAACGAACTGATAAAAAATATCTTCAGGTCGCTTCATAAATCGCAATCACGCCGGTTGTCAGCGGAATTTCGCGATAATTTAACAAACGGTTCAAGGTCCGATGAATAACCGCACGCCGCGGCGGTGAGAACCGCCCATTTGCGAGCAGATTAAAAAGGAGAACGGAATATCGAGCGGTAGTTTTAAAAGAGGAGCGAAAAGAGCGTGTGTGTCTCTCTCTCGAACGCGAAAATATTAACTCGGACCTAAAAAACACCGTCCGCAATAAATTGCCATCGTTACGCATTAACGTGAATGATATTGCATTCCGCTGCACAACATGTGAGATTACGATGATGGATTTTCTCGCATGTTACGCGATGGAGTAAATTTTCTTCGAACCTTCTCTTTAGCATTACATTTTTTAGACTTCGATGTAAGATTTCGATAGAATTCAGGCTCTGCCTCAAGAATTGATACATTTCAAAAAAAGTTTTGGCCATTAAATAGTCAAAATAATTATGCGAAAATATTATCGAGTATTAATTCTTAACGTTTTTATATGAAAATTGATAATAATTGTTTCTTCCGATTCCAGGATTGATTTTGAGTTACTATTTAAATATTAAAAAAGATACCCCAAATTTTCGAAAAATAATAACTATTAAATATTCATAGAAACTTTGAAAATTTTCACTCAAGAAAAAGCTAAATTTTTTTATTTTTATTTTTATCATTTAGATTCTATTATTATTTATTGTAAAAGAATGAAATTAAACTTTTCATGTCTATAATTTCGTCAAAAATTTAGATTTAATATAAATAATTAATAGTCATTATACTTGAAGAAATAGCTGCAATTCTTCTCTATCTCTTCTTATTAAAATTGTTTAAGATTTTATTAATATTTTCTAAATATTATATATATAAATTATATACTTTCCTTGCATTTAAGAATAATTAAAATGATGATTAAAGAATTTTTGGAAATCATACAATGAATTACGATGATAGACAAGAGCCTGAAAAATTTATTCTAGATTCTCGAATTCGCGATCCGCATCCATTAACTTATTTTTTTCGCTGTCGAATCGAAATACATTGTACAATCGAGTCTTCTCTGCAATGCGACATTACAGTAGTATGATGGCATTTCACGTGCAGTATTTTTCGAGGCGACACTTGTGGAATTCGGTACGTTCGAAACTCGCAAGTAGGGATCATTTCGTGAGTCTTTGCCGCTTCGGGAGAGGGAATAAAAAGAAGCATAATCGTTCGCGAACTTTACAACCGCGCTCGTCAAAGTAAACACCGCGAACTACCGCACGACGTGCATATAGCGAAGAAAACGGCGGGTTCGTTGTGTGTACACGGTGCATGGACACACAATGGGACGCAATTCGCATTACCTGCCTTACACGATGACCGTGAACGCCGCGACGAAGGTGCAACAGGCAGGAGGAAGCTGCACCACGTCCATAGCACGTTTTCAAGTTGGTAGAAGAGACTTGAATTGATGACTTTCGCATCTAAAATATAACAATTATTCATGTTAAATTTAAATTTTTAAGAGACTATAAAGAAGAAAAATTTCTAAATTTAAAATTAAAAGTAAAAAATTGCACGTATTCTATAAATAAATATAATATTTGTGGTTCTTTAATTTCTGTTTTAAAAAAATCAAATTGAATTTTTCACATTTATAATTAATTGTCACTATTTAAGGAAATACAGCTGCAATTGCATATTCTTTTTTATCGCTTTTCATTAAAATTTTTTAAGATTAATATTGTATTTTTTAAATATATGTATATATGAAATTTTATAATAAAATTTTATAATATATAAAGTAAGAAACTTTGTAAAAAAAGGAAAGGAAGGAATAATTGCAGCTGTTTTTCTTTAAGTAAAGCCAGAAGAGGCAAATTTGAATACGTATTTAAGAGAAATTCTATGCCGTTTATGTACTCTCTCTAGAAAAATCTGACTGACAATGGTGAATAAGTACGTCCCTGCCACGCCGTAAAAGTCCCTCGGTGAACAAATACTACACGCGTCTTCTCGACGTCTGACCACACCTTATACGCGTCTTCTCTACGTTTTGCGCTCTCTGGAGGTCGAATCCGTTGTCTGGGCCGCCGTTTTTTACTGAAAATACAATACAGGGATGCGAAAGGATTATAGGAGGATTTTTGTAGTCCTGCAATTTGTTAGGGAATATAATTTATATATATTAAACTGTTGTATTGATTTTTGCAAATTTTCTTCTGCGACAGTCATTAGTATAATGACATAATAAATATAATATATGATAACATATATCCTATATTAAATAGATTTTATTTTATTATATTTTATTTAATAATATAAACATATTAAAAAATTTTATAGACAATTTTAGATTCTTTAAAGATATTATTTCTTATAATTTATTACGTTATCTCTTTTATACTTTCATAAAATTTAAACTTGATCATCAGTAAAACATAATTCATTTAACTTTTAATGAAAGAGTAATTCGTGTGTGCGTTTTACAAGAAAATGATTCAAGTAATCGAGGAAAATTTGTACGGCAACGGATATATCAATTTTCTCTCTCTCATATGTAAATGTTTAGATCGATTCACAAAGGTCCATGGTGACGTCAATCAGCTGACTACTTCCTGCCGTACGCGCGTGAATCCTTCAATACGTGAAAGCCGCCGCTTTAATGGCTGGTTTTATGCAGTTGGACAGGAAATTGTTCGCTGGACATCGCCAAACCCTCTCGTCGCGTTGCGTAATCCCAAGTTGCACATATTCATGTTATATTTCGCGATATAATCACGTCTCTAAACCGCATCGCGTTGCGACTTCAGGGCGTATTTTGCGCGTTAAAAAGGAGAGAGAACCGGGGTCTCGCGACTCGAGGCTCACAAAACTGCGGGACGACTTTTTTTTCTCTCCTCGAGTCAGTCCCAGACTACCATTTGCGATTGCGAAAACCGCGCGTGACGGTCCATTACGTCGGGCAATTCTTCTTCCGCCCGTTTGCGAGGCGATCTCTGCCTCGAGCGAGCAGCTCTAGAGAGACACTTAAGCCGGACTCTAAGTAATCCGCTGTTCAACTGACCTGGCCGTCATCAATCAAGCAGAATTGACTTGAAGGAATAAAAAATAAGGAAATAATTTTAAATAAAAAGAGAATTCGCGAGTAAAAAAGTCCCTTACTGTGAATCGCGAAAGATTAAAGCAAAAAGATACGTTAATAAATAATTTGCCAATGACGTTAAATTACATCGATGAATCAAAGTCAAAAATAATGTTATTTTTTTCTCTCATCGGCGTGAATATTAAATTCGTCCTTTTCAGATGTAGAAAATACGAGTGCACGCGCGAATTGCATCGCTGATGATGATCCGCGTTAAAGGTCGCTCGAGTCATGCCTTTAACGATAGTCACGAGTATACGTTTACATACACGTCGATGCATCGCCACGTACGAGTGAACGTCGAACTTCATTCAGGACTTTCATTCACGCTTGTCATTGAGCCACCGACATATTTTCATGTAGATTGACGTTTCATATAGACCGACAGCATGATTCACGTCCATCTCTTTGCCCATATACACAAATGTAATGTATATGTAAACATAGAAATTAATTAAACTAATAAGTTAATTAAATTAGTAAGTTATATTAATAATTTATAATTCATGAGAAATGAGAAATTGAAATTTAAAAAGATTGAGAAAAGTGATTTTCTTGTATATTTTGTATATTATATGTACGTATTTATGTAATTCAAAATATACAAAGTTAATTAAAATTAAATTTAAAATTAAATTAAATTACATTAAAATTTATTTTATAAATTAATTTTAAAATTAAATTAAATTAAATTAAATTAAACTTTATTTCATAAATTAATTTTAAAATTAAATTAAAATTTATTTCATAAATTAATTTCAGTGTTTAATTTAATTCAAAATTAATTTTAATAATTCTAAATAAAAAAATTTTGATAATTTTACGATAGCGTTTTTTTCTCGAAAATATTTCGCGTCCTCGAAATATTCAGCTTACGCGATACGGATATGAGGCATAATACCAATGAGAATCTTCTATGGGTATGCGGATGAATGGCTCCGGTGACTTGCAGACGATCGTCCGCGAGAATTATTTCGTTGACGCGCGAATTCCGCGAACGATCCGAGCGGATGATTTTCAAGAAGCTTTCTATACACACGATTGCGATTACGCGAGGGGGGTTTTAATCCATCCGTTGCGAACGCGACGACAAGAGGATGCTCGGGATCGGCGGTAGGATATATTTTTATCGCGCGCGGTAAATTGTCTGTTTGTGTTTATGCGCGCGCGCACTTCTCTCTCTCTCGCGTCCTCCCTCATCCGCGACTTGCACACGCACACATGCAACTTACGCTTTTAGCGCACGTGAGTGGCACGCACGCCACGCGGTGCCAGGACCTGAATTCACGTAATTGTGATTAATGGGCCCGCTAATGCGAGCCGACCGTCTCGAATCGTGCCGGGAATGACGACGAACGATTTCGAAGCCGCGCGTAGACGTGATTCGTAACAATCGCGTCCGAGTGAACAATAGCGAAAATGCTTTTCGAGAGATTTTTCAAGGATAAGAGAATTGTTCAGATTTTCGTGAGAAGGGAATTAGCGTCGCGTTCTCGCGACATTTTGTCTCGTCTTAATATCTAAATGTTAAGGTCGATCACGATTAATTGTATAATACAAGTGATAAATCCGAGATACCTTTCTTGTCACTTCTATTGGCAAATGATTTATCTAATTATATCGATTTTTTTTATTTGAAATTTTAAACTAGTGTTGTGTTATCATTTTTGCGTCGTCATCTAATTAATCTGGTTAGTTTTTAATTTATGCCCTTTTCTGGCTCACTTGTCATATTTTGTAATAATTTTTATATTAATTCTATATATATTTATTTTCTATTTTAAATTGTGTATTTTTGTTGTCTTATATATAAGGCGTTTTTTATTAAGTGCGCAAAATTTTAGGAGATGATTCTTTGTCGAAAATTAAGGGAGGTTTTTCATATAAACATTAAAAAGTTCTAAGAAAAAATTGAATAGGAGTTGCTAGTTTCATCCCCCTTATAACAATACGAAAGACTGAAAAAAATATTAATAAATGTGTTATACCTGTTTACTAGTAGAAAATACCACCTAATTTCATTTAACCTTCCAAATTTCAGAAAAAAATAAAAATCTAATTTACTCCCATTTTTAGAGGAATGTAATTCCACAGGGAGAATGTAGGAGTAAAAATCCCCCTTAATTTTCGACAAAGAATCATTTCTTAAAATTTTTCGCATTTATTAAGAAACACTCTGTATATAAATAAGCTTTGATGAATCTTAATCCTCCTTTTGTGTCTTTTATTAAAAGGGATTTATCTCTCTCTTTCTGGTTAATAAATAACTAAATAAGTACGAAGACGCCATTTCTAAATATTAGGATAATATCATTTCTCATCGTCAATATCATTAGTGGACAATTTTGCGCAGCGTTTTCAATAAAATATGCATTTGAAATATTGCAGGGAACTAGTCTCGCCGCCCGTAAAACCAGTTTTTTCATCTCTGTCGCACCATTCATTTTCCTTTTCTTCGATCGCGCCGTCAAGATCACGAGGTTCTCTCACTTCGATGAAAGAAAGGGTCGTTCCGCTCTCTTCTCGACGAAATTTACGTGTCCACCATCGGCAGCTCGCTGATTGACACGACCGATAAATTCCGAGGGACGATTTGTGCTAATGACGTGTCCCATACTTCTGATGAAGAGTGGCTTCTGTTGCTATCTGCTTAAAACTTGCTCTAAAGTGTCATAATGCGATGCAATTCTCTGTTGTTACCTCCGGGCAAATTAAAGAAATCTAGTTTTGCGAAAGAGGATAAATATAGTTTTTACAAGACGTGCATCATGGATAAAAATTGCAGAGTGATTCATCTCACGTTTCAAAAGAGCGCACTTTCGAAAACGATGTGAAAAATATATATCAATGTTAATTCGCGATTTCAGTTCTTTATATAATCCATTTATTTTTAACTCGAAATAATGTCAACTCCTTAAAATTCTAAATTAATAAAATTAAAACGTCATCTATTCTGAATGAAAGATGATGTATTTTAATCTTGCTTGATAACATCGTAACTTAATTTTTCGAAATGGAATTTCCGTGTTGTTGAATCTTTTATCTCACGGATGCTGTTTTACGACAGATTAACACACGGCTGTAAAATATCTGATGTGGGAGGATATCTTGTCTGGTTTTTGAGGCATAAACTGACGGATGGATTATGTAAATTTTTAAACTTGTGTTGAAAAAGGTTGAGAGCATACTCGATTAATAACAATATCTCGATTGCAATAAGAATAAAGCAAAATCATTGTAAACAAATTTATCATTGTATATGATAATAATGATTGCGAGTAATTTAAGCAAAATAAATAATGTTATGCAAGAAGAATGTT